GGGGCTGGTTGTATCGCACGGTTTTTTGCTTTGAGAATAGTAAGATGAATACGAAAAAAGGGGGGGGGTGTAGAGGGAAAAGGGGGAGGGGAGGTTTATCGCATGGTTTTTATACTTTTAGAATAGAAAGGTGTGTTATATTAAGGATTGGACGAAAAGGGGGACGGGGTAGGTATCGGACGATTTTGTGCTTTGAGAATAGAGAAGTGGGTGTTTCTTGGATCCCGTGCGACTCTTGCAGGAGCTGGGGCAAAAAAAAAAAAGCAAACATGAATGAGCTGATGTATTCGCTCTGTATTGGTAGTGATAACGCTCTTCTTATAACGACCTGCGTCTGTCACATACTGACTTTGGAGAACATAAAAAAAGTTACGGGACGTCCGTCAGATTAATTTTAGCGTAAGCTCACCTCACTCATTAACTACAAAAACTACAAAGGTCCGTTATGAAGCCAAGAATCTCCTCCCTTTCCCTGCCCCCCCCTCCCATGGCAATACCGGTCGCTACTTTAGAATAACAAAGTTCTATCTGACATTTTTTGGCCGTTTCGAGATACTAAGACCGTGATGTCAGAAACCAAACGTTCCTTCTGCTCTTTCAAAATCTTAATTAAGATTACTTGGATTCGTTATTAAGATATTCAAAGTATTGCATTTTTTTAAAACTTGACATGGTACGAAACTCCCAAAAAAAATTTACGTCAAATTTCTCAAAACTAGCAGACTTTGTAATTCTGTGGTTGAGAAGTATCTAGCTCAGGGCAACAACGAGGCCCATTGTGCTGGTGAGTACTTCAGAAGTAGAACAAGCTGCAAGTGCTTTGTTTCACGTTCTTACAGTACAAGATAACCGTTCAACCAACCCACTTGTCTCCATTGAGGAGAAATAGAAACAGCGCTATGAAACGGTCGTTTCCAGCTGGCCAACAGGGTAACGGCACAGACTGCTTCACAAGCACCATTTTAATGGTAGGCTATCCTTTCAATTAATCATCTCTAAGTATTCCTGAAGCGTGGACAGGGCGAGGGAAGTGGGATGTTGGAAGGTTTGCTTGCCCATTGCAATTTTCCTATCAAGGTGGTATGTTGCGATTAGAAACGCAAAACACGTGGAAGACATAAGTGCTCTGTTAGCTTTAATTTAGGACCAATTTATTCGTCTAGTGGAGATTTACTTTACACCGGTGAAAACATAAACATCCACAACCTGAAAAAAATGAATACAAACTACATGTACTTTTAATTTTGATACACAAACAGCTCTCCTGAAAACTGTAGTTTTTTTTTGTTGGGTTGGGGGGG